GTTAACCTTTATAACATTTGTAGATAGCACAAAGTACTATATAATTTGATTAATATCTGTATTAATTACTAGATTAACCACTTTCTTAATGGCTCATGATAATGTTTTCATTTAGGTATGCGTAACGTAACTGTGATATCGGTCATAAAATATTCGTTCTAATAGATAATCTATAGGTATTAAAGGTTAAAAAAATTATATACCCAATAAAAAATAACCTGTGAGCTTCGAAACTTTATTTCAAAATAAAATAAGTTATCTGATTGTGACAAAACAAAAAAAACAGGAAAGAATACATGTTTATGCTTTTAAAACAAGTCTATAAAAACATGTATCTATATGTTTATGTTTGAGGAATAAATTACTAGTAACAAAATAACATGAAATTTTGTCAGTATCCTTAGGTGAAGTAAATTCAAAATTAATTTATCTTACCAATTGTGAGCATCTATTTTATCTTATATGTTCATGGTGACTTTGCACAGAGAAACGATTTTAGAAACGCTATTTAACTGGAAACATGTCTATGTTGTTTTAAACTCTTCACAAATCATTTCTAGCATGTTCATATTAATGATGAAGGGTCCCACTTAATGTAGTATGTGATACTAACTCCAAACTGTAGTAGATGTAAATAGTTTCTTATCAATGTTATAAATAAACAGTTACAGAAAAAATGTGTTTTCGATTAAGGACACACTCTTGATGCAGATACTCTCAGTGAAAGTTACTACGACAATATTTTTATTTATTTTATCTTGTTAAACACAAACAACGAATGGGAATATAACCAACTAATACTGATAAATAAATAAGAGCGTCTTCACCGTGTTTTAAGTAGGTGATATGACCTGGATAAAAAACAAAAAAATAGTTTAGTTTTCTTCTTCACCATAGCTTGGGGCTTCGGTGGTGGTGTGGAGAGAAGAGTAGCCATATGCAGGAGCTGGTACCTTTAAAGCTGGAGCGTAGGCAGGAGCATACGCTTTCAGAGCTGGGGTGTAGGCAGGAGCGTAAGCTTTCAGAGCTGGGGCGTAGGCAGGAGCGTAAGCTTTCAGAGCTGGGGCGTAGGCAGGAGCATAAGTTTTCAGAGCTGGGGCGTAGGCAGGAGTGTAGGTCTTTACAACTGGAGCATAGGCATGTTTGGGCACACTGTAAGCCTTAGTAGGGACAGGTGCTTCGTAATTCACAGGAGCCGCTTCAGAAGTGATCTGAACGTCAGCAGGGTTCTGGTTAGCAGTGCCTGGCTCGTTGGTCTTAATCACAGCACGGAATCCAGCCTCATCGGCAACATATTCCACCTGGCGGTAGACACCATAAGCATCACGGTAACCGTAAGAACCTTGCTTGTTGCCATACTCATCACCACTCTCTTGCTGCCACTGGGTGTCGCCGTATTCATTTTTGTTTTCATATGCAAAGTTGTATGGTTCAGGCTTATCCTAAATAAAGAGAGTTCATAATACGGTTTTACATCATTCTTAGTGATCTATGCATATATACATACATCCTTCGAGATATTGTTTATCTTACTATATTATATTTAGAGAAAAAAGATGGAGGAAAAAATAGCCAAAAAATTAAATTTGTGAAATTTAATGTCACTGATGTTTCAAAAAACTGTTAATGTCCAAAATGTCACTGCAATTTGTAGAGTTGGCTTATAGTTCGTAAATTCAAAATAAGTAGATAAAAACAAGTTTTTAGGTTAGAGAATCCATACTAAAATGGCTTAAATTATTTTGGTTTTATATATGTTAGAATTTAATGCATTAAAATGATACTTATGAGTTCTTAGTATTTGATTACATAGAAATAGAAAAGAATTTTACTTACGTAAGTAGACTCTGGCACGTATCCGTAAGGAGTGGGTACAGCTTGAGCTACTACAGCCAACAGGCAGGCAACAAAAACCTGCAAAAGTATTTAGTTATGGTTCATTCATTACGTTTTTTGTGGCCATTTTTTTATCTATACATTGAGTACCTAGAAAAACAAAAACTTTAAATATTTTAATTTAAAAAGTAGGTTTTGTTTGTTTTAGTCTCTAGCCAGATTGGTTACCGGCGCTCTGACTAAAACAGAAAATCGAACCTCAGGTTTTAGAGCCTTAAGTCCGTAAAATTACCACTGATCCACCAGAGTACTTTAAAAATAGGATGTTCAATGTTTCATGATTTTCATTTACGCTATATTATGCTAACAAAACCGTTTATTTACTAACAAGAAACGTTTTGTTTTCAGAATTTTCAGAATTATTGCAACATAATGAACAGTTACGAAATGAATTAAACGGCCATCAATAAATATCTCGACTGAACATACATTAGTTGTGTACATTCAGTTTTTATTGTTGTTGTTGTTGTTTTGCAGAACAATTTAAATAATCGTTTTTTAATCTTCTAAACATGGAAAGTATTTCTCTCGAAACAAAACAGATAGTTACATAAAGTAATATCATCATAGCTATTTTGATATTTTAGTATAAAATTGTGAAGTTTTATTTTTTTCACTAATTACTTCTGCATACTTCTATCTAATAAAAAAAGCTTTAGGTGTGAAAAAAGGTAAGGCCAAAAATAGATTCAGCGTGCGACTTAAAGGAGTGAAATCAAAATTAGCGACCAAGCTGGTTGCTACACTTATAGCACTGCATACTTCTGCATACTTCTATCTAATAAAAAAAGCTTTAGGTGTGAAAAAAGGTAAGGCCAAAAATAGATTCAGCATGCGACTTAAAGGAGAGAAATCAAAATTAGCGGCCAAGCTGGTAGCTACACTTATAGCACTGATAAGAATTTTACAGCAAATATTCATTCATTAATTAATCATGTGTTATATCTCAAGTATTTCTAAATGGGTTGTCTTGAAATTTGGTATGTGAAGTAAGAGTCCAGTAGAGCACATCCACTCAAAATATTCGATAGTTTGGATTACCACAGTCCGATTTACAGAATGTGTAAAATCGCTAAACTATCACTCTTAATAACGCACAATGTGTCCTGCAGGTTGTTGTTTTTTTAACCATAAGACACACTACCTGTGTCTCGATTGCAAATTCACATAAGTATTTTTAGACCTTACTAACAAACTATGCACAAAACATCACATCTTATATTTATCGTGGATGAATATTCACGATACAGGCAAATTAAAACATATAAAACTGTATATCTAAGTTACTGGAGCATAATATAGAGAAAAACATTAAAGAAACAAACCTTGCCTTTACGTTTGTATTAGTTTGAAGTAGTGCTGAGGTTTTCTATCACTACACTATAAAAATATATAACATTAAAGGCGACAGACATAAAACACCTTCAGATTGTTTTATTAGTAGTAATCTGACGGAGGAATTTTAATAAAGTAGAGGAAATATTATATGGTATTAACGTTTTAGTATTAGGGATAAAAAAGGTAAAACAAGCCATCTTTGGTGTTAAAAGTCCTACAGTAATTAATAAACGTTATTGAGGTTTTTATATCTTCATTCTTCTTATTCTAATGTTACTGTTAAATATAAACACGATTCTCACCTTGCTAATCATTTCGTGGTTTGTTGGGAAGCTTCAAGTTTTACTTTCGGTAAAAAAATGATACAGATATTTCGTTGCTTGCTTCTTATATACGTTTGCGAAGGCTTGTTTCACAATGTTGGTAAGTTCATAAGAAACAGGGCTATATTGATTCAGCTTTCTTCCTCAGGATACCTAAGATCGTAAGCCTGGGGCTTGGGCTTGGCTGCTTTACACTCTCCTCCCTCTATACCCCTTTTATAAATGGTTAGTAATTCAAACTAACAATGCTTGATCAAAAATTTGGGGAATTAGGCTAACAAACTTTTTTCACTTTTTAACCTAGTTCAACTTCTTTGTTTGTGGAAGAAAGTTCGCTAGGTTCTGCAAAGAAAAATGAAAGTGATAGAGTGAACGTGAAAACTTTTAGTTCATGCTGTAGGTCATGACGCATTTTCTTTTTTATTTACTAGAACAATCAGATAATTAATTCATCATACTTCTTCATATTTCTATAAAAAATTTATTCGAAACGCTCAACTAAACAGAATAATTTAAATTGTTAGCATCCACTCGTCATATTTATTGGTTTTAGCTAAAGTTTACATAGTGAAAATAACGTCATATAAAAACAGGACAATATGAAGTCCGGAGTGCATGTTTTAAACAAACTTATTATGAAGTTAGATGTAAAAATCGGTTGAAGTTGAGAAGATGTGAGGAAGCGGGCGGAGTTTCTTCAGTCTCTAAGGAATGGGAGATTACAATACTCTAAGTCATTAAAAAGGTATTGGATTGAGTGGGTATGGCAGTCGCCTTTTTAAGTTCAGCTGGAATGGAGACTACAAGACCCTCTTTGGTTATGAAACGTTATAATCCGATACACAGGAAACAGGTGCAAGGTCAAAAAGGAACCGGTTCGGCATGGGTTTGATAAAGAAATATAAAAGCTAGAAGTTCAACGAAAGAAAAAGAAGATTGGGAGATATGAGAGAAAACGGATAAACCGAGAGAGGCGAAGGAAGAAAGTAGTATGCTGCCAGTAAAAAAAAACAACCTATTTCTAAATATGTGTGTTATTGATTACTAGTAATAAAGAACAATTTGTTGTGTTTAGTAGGAGTTAATTCGTGATAAGAATAAGTACAACCTAAATAAACTGATGGACATGAGAAGATAAAGCGATGTGTGAGTACAGGACGATCGTAACTAACCTCTATCAAGATTCTTTTTGAAATGTCTGTTGTTTCTGTTGAATCAGTTATAATATCACAATTTTTTATGTAAATAAAAATAGAAAACCAATGGAAAGTTTGAATAAAACAGGCGTATTATGTTGTGTTTAGTAGCAATTTATATCAAGTTAATAAACGTTCTTACGGCATACTTCCAAATAACAGTTTTAAATGATAATTGAGATTTAACGGTCTGTTTCAGGTTTTTGTTTAATATTCACATCAGAGTAAATCAAACTATTACTTGGTTGTGACACACAATTCTTTCCCTGTCAGCAACAGTGGATGTTTAGCACTTTAACTGTAATAACTAGAGCTTTTATTTAATGTAGAATTTGAGTAGCGAATGATGTCACATTTTTTACTAAATGAGGTTGTTTTATGGACACCTAAGTACAGGCTTACTTGGATTCAATGTTTCTTTAACCACTCACAACTGTTTTTAGGCTAGATTTTTATATTTTTATATTAATGTAAATATTAGAATTATGAATAACAAATCGCCCGGTGGATAAGCAATCCGAGGGTCGCGGGTTCGCGTCCCTGTCGCACCAAACATGCCCACTTGGGCGTGGGGCTAGCAACTCCACCCCGATAACAATTTGCTAAAGAAACTGCAACAAAAAACACTTCCGTCGGCGTTCCACTAGGAACTAAGAGAATAAGAATGAATAACAAATAAAATGTATTTTGTATAAAATGTGTTTTTCTTATTGCTTAGCCGTAATTTGAATATTGATCAATTGTTCAGCCAAGGGTTACAATGTTTATTTCATCTGCAAAACAAAACTTAAATGATATATAAATGTAATTTTATATTCTTTATTTTTCAAAAAATATCATTTTAGAAGCTTAAATAATTTCTGAGATATTAACAATCTGCTGAAAACTGTAGCATTTATTTTAATATAACTTTAAATTTGAAATATCTACAAGTATTAACTTAAACATAACTTAGTGCTCTATCAAAAAAGAAAACTTTACACAAATATTAGCTAAAACATAGCTTAGTGGTCTATCAAAACGTCTAATGTGTTATATCATACACTTCTGTTTGTTTCAGATACTGATATTAAACTACACAGGAACCATCTTCTCTAGTCGTCTCTAAGATTGAACTGATAGACTAGAAGTAAATCAACTAGTCTGTAACACTGTAATCAAACGGTTTAGGTTTCGCCGTCACTCTTACGCACACCAACGGCTCCATTATGCGAACTTCAGACCCTTGGATTCGGATTAAGGCACACAAATCATTGGGCCAACCAAGCCCACTTCTAGTTTTCTTTGTATGTCTATTCATATGAAAAATATAGATATATGAACAGCATGTCTTATAAACAATTAAATGAAAAAGTTTTAAAAAACACAGCTTTACAAGAATTATATTTCGTTACCCTAATCTTTGTCAGGATACACTAAAGTAAACAAGTGATAGCACCACTTAATAATAGGTTTGTGTGTGTGTGTGTTACTAAAGCTCTGACCCAACTAAATGGCTACTTACATATTTCAGGAACAAGAACATTAGTTCCAATATTTTACATAATAATAGGTTTGTGTGTGTTACTAAAGCTCTGACCCAACTAAATGGCTACTTACATATTTCAGGAACAAGAACATTAGTTCCAATATTTTACATAATAATAGGTTTGTGTGTGTTACTAAAGCTCTGACCCAACTAAATGGCTACTTACATATTTCAGGAACAAGAACATTAGTTCCAATATTTTACATAATAATAGGTTTGTGTGTGTGTGTGTGTGTGTTACT